TGGCTGGTCGGCGCTTACCGCTGACCATGTCCTGGGTGGAGCGCAGACGGTTCTCGAGCTCGCGCCTGGCAGTGCGCTCGCTCTCGTCGCACTCCAGCTCCCCGAGGTCCGCGGATAACTGCTCGTCGATCGTGGGCGTGCAGGGGCCGTCCTTGGACGTGGCGGGCTCGCTCTTCTCGGTCTGCCGGTCGCTGCCGATCGCGCCCGTCTGCTGAGCTAGCACGCGCGCTGCCTCGCTCCTGGGCAAGCTCCGGCGCTGCGGCTGGCTCCATGGCCTCGGCCTGCTCGAGGTTGTCCCTGGCCTAGAGGACCGCCGAGACCGCTTGGTCGTGCCTCGTCGATGCTGCCCTCCACGCCTCCGCCGTCTGGCGCACCGCCTCGTCGGGGACCTGGGAGGGCTTGCCCTGGCCCCTCTCCTTCTGGACCTCGTCGCCCAGCAACTTCCTCAGAAGAGGTCCGTGGTCGCCGCGAACGTGGAGGCCAGCAGCTCGATGTCTGAAGACGAAGACGCCGAACTGGAACTCCCTGCACCTGGCTTCGGACCCTTTGGCCTGTGGGCGTTGGGGATCTGCAACTAGTTGTTGCTGTTCTTGCCCTTGGGGTGATACAGCTTGACCTGGCGCCCGCAGCCGCAACATTTCCTGCCACGAGCCTCCAGAGTCGTATTGTGTTCGCATGTGCAACATGCGGCGCAATGGGACCAAGCCCAGTTGTCCGTGTCACCTGTAGCCTTCGTTATCTCACTTTTCATTTCTCGGGGTTGGACAGAACCCCCAACAGTGACACGTCGATTAGTGAATTGTCCGTTTTCGGTTCTCGAGAGGGCGCCGTCGCCGTTATTTTCCATGCTTGCGCCCGCCAGGTTTGGGCCTCGGATCGTTTTCACTAAACCACGTTTTACTAAAGGGAGGTCTGTCCATCCCCGAATTTAACTTTTCGCCGGTCAGAGCGTCTGCACAACCTGGGCAGCTTGAGGTCTGCTGCACGTGGGCGCAGCAGGCTGACTGCCCCCCGAGCACCTCGTGAAGGCAGGAGGAGGAGGAAGAGGAGGAGGAGGAGGGGTACGTAGGGGAAGGGGGGCACGTGATGAGGAGGATTGGGGGAGGAGGGATGAGGAGCCGGATCAGCACCCCCCTAGGTCACCCCAGCCTCTTTTCCCGTCCTCTTCCTCCGCCCTCCACCCTGTGCGCTCCTCCCTCTCTGCTCCTTCCCATCTATACTCCCCCTCTCCCTCCGCCTCGCCCCAAACATCTTGGCTCAATGCTCTGCCGCGCCTCCAGCGCGCGCCGTGGCGCCTACGACCCCGCCGCCCCGGCTCTCTCCCGCGCTCGGCGCTCGTGGTGCCCCGTGGCCTCCCGCAGGGCGGCCTCGCACCCCGCGAGGGCGGGTCGGGGGCTGCGCACGCCGCCCCCGCCGCCCACGCGACGCTGCCACGCGCGCGCCTCTCCCCTCCTCCTTCCGCTCCTCCTCCCCCTCCTCCTCCTCCTCCTCCTCCTCCTCCTCCTTCTCCTCCTCCTCCTCCTCCTCCTCCTCCTCCCTCGTCCTCGGCCTCCTCTCCTCCTTCTCCCCTTCCTCCCCTTCCTCCCCCTCTTCCTCCTCCTCCTCCTGTTTCTCCTCCTCCTCCTTGCCTCCTCCTCCTCCTCCTCCTCCTCCTCCTCCTCCTCCTCCTCCTCCTCCTCCTCCTCCTCCCCTCCTCCCCCCCTCCTCTTGTCCGATCAGGCACCAGCCTGTCGTGCAGCCCCCGGGGTTCTGTGCAGGGCGAGGTCTCTCTTGCCTGCCTGAGTGGCGGTCTGCGCTTTTGGCTTCAGGCCCGAATCGGGAAACCCAGCGCGTGCTCCTGCAACGCGGTATACCTCGCAATACAAAACAGTTTCCTGCTCCCTGCTCCCCCTCCGCCCTCTTCCTTGTCCGCCCCTCCGGCTTTTCCAGCGCGCCAGGGGCGGCGCCAGAGGTGCCGCCAGGGGGTCCAACGTCGATCCGAGAGATCCGCGAAGTCCTCCGACAGCTTATGCTGATGCAAGTTGTCGTTCCTCCAACATCCATCGTGCCTCCCTCCTCCCCTTCCTCTTTTTTTCTCCTTCCTCGTGCCCCCCTCCTCCTGACCGATCGATCAGAGCGGTCTAGTTCGCCCCCAGGGATCCCAAAGACAGAGTAGTCGCGCCTTGCGCATCGCGGCTCGAGTCGGAGATGCACCCTCTTCCAGGGTGGCCTCGCGAGGGCGCGAACATGCGCACGTCAAATAAGAAGCCAGGCTCTCAGCAGGTGCCCCATGGAAGTTTCTTATCCCACGAGGGCCCATGGGCGGGGGGCCCGAAGAAGCTTTGTGGCACCTCAGGACTTTCAAACATAGACGAAGAGTGTGCCCCAATTTCCATTCTATCAAGATAGTTATTCTAGCAAGCTTGTTGGTCGGACGTGCCCACTAGCCGCGCATCGCGGGGCGCGATTCGCGAAGTTAGGCGACCCACGCACCCCTGGAAAAGTAATGCAAATTTTGCAGGCCGTGTCGAAGAATCATTCTCAAGGGGACTTCCCTGGGGACAGTTTTTCATCTCGGGTCCGTTACTGACCGTCCAGGGGCCCGAGAACGGTCACTGGAACCCAAACGTTGAGTAGGGCCGAGGGTCAGAGAGCGCCTCCCTCTGCAGGACCACCTAAAAAAGGGCGTCAAGGTGGTTCAACGCCTTGTCGATTAAGCCGACGAAGATGTGCAACGTCCAACCGTTCGCTTCTGTCCAAAGTTTTTGCTTGACGCCCAGTGTGGTGCATCGGCTTCAGCTTGACCGAACAGGTTGATTGCGCTCCTTGACGTCCGTTTAGGGTGTTCTGCAGACCTGACCCCCCAGCCAGGGTGGTGACCACACCGTGCGGTGAGTCGGTGGGGATTCGGGGTCAACACACGGTTTTGGGACTCGAGTCCCTCTCCGAGGACGTCTCCGGCGACAGGGGCCTCAACGGTCACAAGACCGTGCGGTGACGGACCGTGCGGTGAGGTCTCTTGGGGTTGCGACCTCACCGCACGGTCTGTCACCGCACCGTTTCGGGACTCCAACTACTCAACCCAAAGCGACGAAGAGTCGAAGGCGACGAGCATTTCTTCGTCAACAGCGAGCGCGGCCGCTGACGCGCTCCAGTAGCGAGAGCGGGTCGCGCCGGGCTGTGGGCACTCGCGAGCAGATGGAAAAGAGGAGGCGGCCGCAGAGGCAGGGCTCATTTCGACGCCGCCGATTCGATTCGATTCGATTTCGAGGGGCTCCGACTCCGACTCCGATTCGAGTCGATGTCGGATTCCGATCTGGGATCCGATTTCTCATCGGAGGCCCACTGATCTGGCGATGTCTGCCGATTCGGCTTTTCCCGACTCGGCTGCCGATATCCGTCGATCCGATTCATGTCGATCGCCAACCCGACTTGTCGATTCGATTCTGGGCTCTCCTGCAGAGGAGGAGACAGGGAGGGGACTGAGACAGAGAGTCTACGTTTAGGTCGGGTATGTCCCCCTACAGGCGGATTTTGTAGGAAATTAAGATAGCCCAAAAATATGCAAACATGGTCAAAGATAATGGAAAAAACGTCCTCAGACTATTTCTGGACTATTTCCGAATACTCCTCCTGTATAGGAACAGGCCCGACTTAAGTCTGCGTCTTGACGAGTGCGCGGGCGGCCTCGGGCACCGGAGACGGGTGTGCTCTCCCAGTTTGCGCGAGCCCTGCGTGATCTGCCCAGGGGGGGGGCAGTGCCGTGGACCACCGGAGGGCACGGCCGTCCTCGGAGGGGCCGCGGGCAGAGTGCCGCCAGGGAGCCAGGGCCTTCGTCAGGGGAGGACAAGGTACCCAAACCGCTACCCTTCCCTCGTTTTCCCCTCTTGGGCCTCCTGGAATGCCCTCGTCGCCACCGCTGGATTCGCCTCGAAATCCAGGTCAGAACAGAGGTCCGGTGAGTCGCGGTATCGGTACCTTTTGATATCCCCACTTCGGAGGCCGTCTTGGGAGAGCTGGCGATCCAGGGGTCTCGCAAGTTGTTGCAGGTGGCCCGCTGGGGTGCGGATGCCGAGCAGGCGCAAGGCAAGGGTCCAGGCCTCATCGAAGAGGCATCGCGGCGAAGGGAATGCCTCCCTCCTACCTCCTGCCTCCCTCCTCCCTCCTCCCTCCTCCCTCCTCCCTCGGCGAAGGGGATGCCTCCCTCCTACCTCCTTCCTCCCTCCTCCCTCCTCCCTCCTCCCTCCTCCCTCCTCTCCTCCTCCTCCTCCTCCTCTCCTCCTCCTCCTCCTCCTCCTCCTCCTCCTCCTCCTCCCCCCCCTCCCCCCCCTCCTCCCTCTTCCTTCTCCCTCCTCCCCCCTCCCCCCTCCCCCCTCCTCGGGCAATGACGAGACCAGGGGTTCAGGCTTCGACGTCGAGCACCGCGTCGAGGGGCGCCCTGCGCCCGTGGTCTGCGCAGCGCAGGCGGCCGCCATGGCGGCTGGAGGGGGGCAGGGGGGAGGGCGACAGGAAAGGGGACCAGAGCACAGGGAGACGAGGAGAGGGAGGCGTGGGGGGGGGCAGGGGGGGCGGCAGGAATGGGGGGCGGAGCAAAGGGAGAGGAGGAGGGAGGGGGAGGGCACACCTCGGTGCACGGCAGCGACAGGGAGCCCCAAGGCGACGAGGGCCGCGGGAGGTCAGGAGGAACCGCGCTCGGGTCCAGGATAATGTCCTCTAGACTACGTTGTGTTTGTCCACCACATAGTGGCAAATGGCGGCCCAACCACAGTGTATATGTTAGTATCAACGCCTGTCGCCTGGAGAGCTGACCAAAACATTATATGCTAGATGTTGACCTGTGGCGCTTCTGTGAAGCTCCATAGGGTAGGGCACATGTACCTTGACGTATACTTGTGCGGTTCCCACACTTGGCGGCAAAAACAAACAAATCTACGATTCAAGTTGCCTCATTTGCAGTGTAGGAGCGATCGATCGCGCTCGAGGGCGCCCCGATCGATCTGCTCGCCAGCGGTCCCGCGCAGGAGCTCGACGCGGTGCAGAAGGTCTTGAAGAGCCTCCACGCCCAGTGCGACGAGACGGCCCTGCTCCCCTCGCCTGGGGGGGTGCCTGGCGGGGGAGGGAGAGGACCGAGGGTCACTACTTACCAAACCACTTCCACCTCCTCCTCCTCCTCCTCCTCCTCCTCCTCCCAACCTCCTCCTCCTCCTCCTCCTCCTCCCAACCTCCTCCTCCACTCATTTCCCTTATAAATAACTTCTCGCTGTCCCACCCACCTGAAGGCCCCCCCCCCCAAGTTTCGGCTTAGGGCCGTGCGTCTTCAATGTTCTGGAGTCCCCCCTCTCCCACCGGAATTTGACGAGCCCAACGGTGACTTCGGGTTGGGTTGGAGTGGTTTGGTAGGTATTCCGATGGAGAGCGGGGGATCGAAGAAGAACCAGGGGCACACGGCTTTGGAGGTGGCCCAGCACCGGTTTCGGCCAGCAGGAGGGGGAGGGCGAGGTTAGAGGTGCTGGGCTCGAGGTGTTTTTTCGGCCTCTGGTTTTTTTCGGGCCCTGTACTGTCAAAAACGGATCCCTGGTGTCAAAGTCCACCAGATGAGCCCCGGGTGGGGTCAGGGCAGCGATTTTGAGCGGATTTGCCCCCATTGCCTTTTTAGACAGATTTTCTCAGGGCCCATCCAATCATCATTTTCCGGCTCCTCCTTCTTATCCTCCTCGTCCTCCTTCCTCCTGTCGTCCTTCTTCCTGTCCACCATCCTCCCGTTCACGTTGAGCAGCGGCACGACGTTGAGCAGCACGTCGGAGTCGAGCATCACGACGTTGGGCAGGACGGGGAGCAGCATCAGCAGCCCGTCTTCCACAAGCAGTGCGACCAGCACCACGTCGTCGTGCAGCACGTCAGGGGCCAGCGGCACGAGGTTGAAGAACACTTAGGGGGTCGAGCGCCACGACGTGGAACAGCACGACTGCAAGCATCAGCAGCCCGTGTTCCACGAGCTCGCCGATTTCCTCGTCGTCGTTGTCTTCCTCCTCCTCCTCGTCGTCCTCCCCCTCCATCCCCTTGCCCCCTTCTGTTCCTCTAACTGGGCCCTTTTTCAAGTACCCCATCCTAGGACGTTGCTGGTGGACGTCCACTCTTGCCCTCTCCGGGACAGCGTGCGCAGAATGGGCCTTCGCAGGAGGATCGCCTCACAGGGATCGCGTGTTTTTCGGAGGTCGATGCTGCACCTTATTTTTCCAACGCCAACCGTACACATCAACTTTCGGAGGTCCGCGGGGATTTTGTGGATCTGCGCTGGGGTCCTCGCGGCGCCTCCGGCGTTGCCCCCAGTGCGCGGAGCGCGCCAGTGAGGGGTTCCAGCGCCGATCTAAGAAATCCCGGCGGGGCTCCGAAAGATTGTGCTTACGCAGTGTATCCTTCTTCTAACCGAGGGAGGGTCTCCCTCCTCCTCTCAAGGCCTACCAAAGGATGTCGAGACAGATGCGATGCGGCTCGACGTGGAACCAGATTTTCTTCTCCACGCCGACGTCGCGGATGCATCGCCGACGTCACCGATGCATCGGCCCCACCTACCCGGACTCCACTTGGAAGGCCTCCATCATTCCTTCTCCTCCTCACTCCTTAAGAAACAACAAGCGGTATGAAAACAAGCTGTTTGATTTCTTCGGTCGGCGCCAGACCCCATGAGTATTTCGACAACTGCAAAATCAAGGGCACCCTTGTGGCCTGTCTATCGCGCTTCGTGCCTTCCTCGTCTCCGGGGCATGGGCTGGTCTCGGAAGAGACCTGTGTCTTTTGGTGTCTTCCGCAACTCAAGTCCGGCTGTGAGGTGAATGGGGGAGGAGTCGCCCCTCCTCCCTCCTTCTTCCCCTTCTCTGTCCTCCCTTGCCCCCTCCTCCCCCTCCTCCTCCCCCTCCTCCTCCTCCTCCTCCTCCTTCTCCTCTTTCTCCTCCTCCTCCTCCGAAGAGGAGGGCTCTACTCGCAACTGTGCTCGCAGTTGCACGTCCTGCCTCGCCTCTCGCATGGGCATGTCGATTCGTGCTCCTGACGTTGCTGTTCTCTCCTTGCGTCCCTGTCGGGCCCTCGTCCTCTCGGCGCGCTCGGACGCGTAGGTGTGTCCCCTCTCCCGCTCCTCTCCCCCCCCTTCTTTCTTCTTCCCGTCCTCCTCTCCTCCTCTTCCTCCTCCTCCTCCTCCTCCTCCTCCTCCTCCTCCCCCTTTTCCTCCTCCTCCCCCTTCTCCTCCTCCTCCTCCTCCTCCTCCTCCTCCTCCTCCTACTCTCTCCTCCTTTTTCCCAGCCAATCTGTTGGAACGAGATCGGCACGAAGACTGGTGGCCGATCCTGCCCGTTTTGAGCAGGGCTTGCCGTCGGTGTCGCTACGGACGGTGTTCGTTTGAGACAAAGAGGCGATTGCCCAGCACTGGCCATTGTTGGTGTTCGACAACATTCGCTGTTGAGCATCGTACTTTTCTTGGAGTACCCATGCCGGGTGTGCCAAGGGAGAAGGAAGGAGGGGAGAGGGGAGGATGGAGGTGGAACGACCCGTGAGGGAAGATGCCAGGATGGAAGCGCATGTGTGCGGTGGATTTCTGGTGGATGGGTGACGGGGGGACAGGGGAGGACGGACGAGGGGGACGAGTGAATGAGAGGCCTGGACAAAGAAGTCAAGGGGACGATAGGGGGTCCTGAGGGTACTGACTATACCGATTCCCGAAGAAACCGCTTGGCACATTGGCCGTAAAGAGGGCGCCGAATCCTCCTCTTGGGGGAGCTCGAAGGGTATGGTCTCCGCAACAACTTCCTTCAACCACAGGATGATGCTGATGATGAGGAGGAGGAGGGGGTGGCGGAGGATGGGGCGGGAGGTGGTATATGATGATGATGGTGATGCTGATGATGATGCTGCTGATGATGATGCTGATGGTGATGCTGATGATGGTTATGACGATTCTGTTGCTGATAATGATGCGGTTGTTGCTAATGATGATGCTGATGATGATGGTGACGTCGCTGATGAAGATGATGATACTCATGATGGTAATGATGCTGATGCTCATGCGGATGATGCTGACTCTGCTTCCGCTAGTGATGATGATTCTCATGGTGGTGCTGATGCTGATTCTGATTATGCTGCTGATGGTGATGGTGAAAAAGATGGTGGTGCTGATGATGATGGTGGTTGTGATGATGCTGATTGTGACGATGATGATGCTAATGAGGATATCGGCACCATTGACGGGGATGCTGGCGATTAAGATGATGACGACAATGGTGACGACGGGAGGATGATGGTGATTCTACAGGTGATGCTGATGATGAGGATGGTGGTGGTGGTGGTGATGGTCACGATGACGATGATGCCACTGATGATGATGCATGCTTATGGTGATGATTCTGATGATGATGCTGATGATGATGATGATGATGATGATGATGCTGATGATTGTGATGCTGATGCTGATGATGATACTGATTATAAGTATGATGGTGATGATCATGATGATGATGCAGATGATGTTGAAGATGAAGATGCAGATGATGCTGATGATGCTGCTGACAATGATGTGGGTGCTGATGGTGGTGATGATGTTTGTGCTGCTGATGATGACGATGATGCTGCTGCTGAAGATGCTGATGACGATGATGATGCTGATGATGATGGTGATGGTGATGATGATGGTGATGATGATGCTGTTGATGATGATGCTGCTTATGGTGATGGTGATGGTGATGATGCTGATGATGCTGATGCTGCTGACGATGATGATGCTGCCGATGAGTATATGGATAATGGCGACGACGGTGATGATGATGCTGATGATGATGCTGGTGATGATGCTGCTGCTGCTGCTGATGATGATGATCCCTGATGATGATGATTGTGGTGGTGGTGGTGGTGATGATGCTGGTGATGAAGATGATGCTGATGCTGATGATGCTGATGCTGATGCTGATGCTGATGCTGATGATGATGATGATGATGATGATGATGTGATGATGATGATGCTGATGATGATGATGATGATGATGATGATGATGATGATGATGATGATGATGATGATGATGATGATGATGATGCTGATGATGATGATGATGATGATGATGATGATGATGATGATGATGATGATGATGATGATGATGATGATGATGATGATGATGATGATGATGATGATGATGATGATGATGATGATGATGATGATGATGATGATGATGATGATGATGATGATGATGATGATGATGTTTGTGCCCCACGGGAATGATCTGCAGGCTTTTTGGTTCAGGAGTGTATGGAGGCCTTTGGCCCCCTGCTGGCCCCTCTCTCAGTCCTTCGAGAGTTGGCCCTCTTCCGCGCCCTGGCCGTCCCCCGTCCTGTGGATTGCCATTGCGGGGTGCCTGCGCCTGAGGCGGCGGTGACGGGCGAGTGCCGTCCGCTGTCGGAGCTGGCGGGCCGCCCGCCGCAGTGCGTGTGCCAGTGCGACTGCCGCCCCAAAACGCAGAGCGCCGCTGGCGGCTGGTCCACTCTCCTCGTGCGGCTACTCCTCGCTCTCGCGCTGGTGGGCGCCTCCTTCGCAGCAAAAGGGGTCGTGATCTCGCGGGATTTCGACATCTTCGAGGAGGGCCTGGCCGAGTGCGACGTGCTCAGGAGGTACGGCGCGGGGGGCGCCATGCCCGCCGCGCTTCGCGGGCTGCCCGTCCTTCGCATCGACCACTTCGTTCGTTTTCGGCATGGATCGGCAGGTCTACCTGGACACCAGCTTCGACCCGCTGGGTCGACCGAGGCGCTCGCCAAAGGGCTTCGACCCGCTGGGTGCGGAACGGGCGCCACTGCCGGGCCGCCGAGCGAGGGCGGCCCACCGGGTGACCCCCGCAGGCTGCTGGGTCGCAGCCGAGGGCCGCGGCGGGCTGCTGGTTGGCGAGGCGCTGCTGGCGGCCGCGGCGGGCTGCTTGTTGGCGAGGCGCTGCTGGCGGACATGGGGGAGGGGCATCAAGTTTCCAACGACCTGTACCTGTCCGCGCGGGCGGACGACACGGTACTGGTGGGAGCGGTTGAGGATTCCCCCGCACGGGCGGCGCCGGCGGCGGTGGAGGACTCGCGCATCCTTCTCGTGAAGCGCGAGGTGGTGCTCCGCTTCCGTCGCTCCTTCGCATACGTCCTGCAGGCCATGAAGGAGTTTGACTTCGGCGTCGGCTGGGAGATCGAGGGCCCCCGCTTGGCGTTTTGCGCTGCGGAGTGCATCCGCGAAGTTAATCAGGGGCTTTCGCAGCGGCGCACTTGGTGGCGTTCCGTGCTGGGGCTCGCGGCAACGGGCGTCGGAGATGACGAACATGTGCTGCTGCCCCAGCTGATGGAGGTGAGTTTTACGATCGACCAGGTGCCAGTCTATAACGTGGCCGCCTTCGAGCTCATCGGCCGTTGCCACCACACGTGGGAAAGCGCTTGCAAGAGCTGCTGGGTGAGGTTGATACGAGGTCCGCTGGTGGTGACGACTGGCTGAACGAACGCTCTCTCTTTCTCTCTCTGTGGGAGCGAAGAACCTGCGCAGCAGCGCGATCGCGATGCTTGAGCCGGAGGACTTCGTGGCCAGGGAGCCCTCTACTCGTGCCGCTGTCCTGAAGGAGCGCCGTAAGGCGCGGAAGGGGGCCACTTTGGCTAAAGGTGTCGACGCCCTGTTGGCGAAGCAGACTGCCCCTCGAGGGCTAGCCGTGGGGTTCAGGGTTCGGCGGGCGGTGGCCGCCCTGAAGTGTTTTTTCGAGCTTCACAAGATGCGGCAGCGGGGCGTCCTGAAGTGCTGCTGGAAGGTGCAAGCGGCGTGGGTCTTTCGCAGAGTCAGCGACGGCGCGTCCGACGTCGCCGAGCACAGGAGGGCTGGCTGTTCGAGGGTATTCGAGCTCTCAACGAGCTCGGCGCTTCGGGCTCTACGTCCCCTTCGCCTTCTTCGTCGACTTCCGCTCAGGTCTCCGCTGTTCGCCATCTCGCTCGTCAGTATGCGTCTGTGGACGCCGCTCCGCCTGACTGTGGGAGCTGCCTGGGAGCGTGGCGGGCGCTCCAGGGCACGCGGCCCGGCTACGCGGATGCCGCGTCAGCCCTCGGTGCTCGTGTGAACTTCGAGCGAGGGAACGTGACACTTCCCGCAGGGCTGCCGGGCCAGGTGCCACTGAGTGAGTGCCTGCCGCCCGCTTTCCAGTCTGCACTCGATGATCGCTCTATCCTTTTATCTGCTGAGGAGGTTGCCGCTCGGAAGCGGGATTTTGGTGGCAACCTCGTCATGGGCCCGGCCATTCGGGACCAGCCTTGAATTTTTGGAGAGTTCGCTGCTGAACACTATGGCGCTGGCGTCTTGGACGCTAGCGAGGATGTGCTCGAAGACAGCGGCAGGAGTTTCGTGCGAAAGGAGTGGGGCGTACTCCGTCTTGACTTGGGATACCCGAGTCCCCAATTTGTGGGGTTGTGTTGCCCTCTGGGGAGGTTCTTGCCCACTTGGAGTGCGCGCCCCATGTAGTCCCTGTCCTGCACGGGGTGGTGTTGAATTTTGCTACTAGCTGTTCGAGCTTCCTAGTCAGTATAGGTGTTTTGTTCGGTCACGGAGTTTGCAGAAGTCCCCGTCGCCTTCTCAGAGAGGAGCTGGGGAGCCGCCTACGCTGGACGTTGGAGGGGCGTACCAGTGTTTCAGGTCCAGCTGGTATTGCCGCAGCAGTTGCTGATATTGTTATTGTTGTTGTGGTTGTTGTTGGCAGTGGTGGTCTTGTTGGTGATGATGATGGCGGTGGTGATGCTGCTGATGCTGATGCTGCTGCTGCTCATGCTGATGTTGATGATGATGTGGATTACGATCGCGATGCACATGATGGTGATGATGGTTGAGGTGTGGTGATGGTGATGGTGATGCGGATGATACTGATGATGATGCTGATGGTGGTGATGACGAAGACGACCACGACGACGCTGATGATGATGGTGATGGTGATGGTGACGATGATGATGATGGTGATGCAAGTGATGTTGTTGATGGTGATGCGGGTGGTGATGATGATGCTGGCTGTGAATATGGTGGTGATGGCGATGGCGGGGAGGTGAAGGAGGAACGCCAGAAGGATTGTGATCATGACGAGGATATCGAGGTGGACGAAGCCACGATACATGGTGAGGCTGGATCAGGCCGAGGGGGATGAGGGACGTAGCGGCCGCGGCCGACGACACCCAGATTTGCGATACAATGAGCGCCCGCTCCTCTGCTCATCCTCGTCCTCCAACTTCAGGACGGGTGTGGTTGTGGGCCTCCGCATAGCCAGCCAGGTGAAGTGGTGAGGAGATGGGGTGCGCGATGACCCGGATGAGGGGGAGGATAATGATGGAAAGCAGGGGGAACCAGGATTAGGAGGGGTAGGACGAGGAGGAGGAGGAAGTGGTGGAGGAGGAGGAGAAGGGTAATGCTAGGGAGGAGGACGAGGAGGAGGAGGAGGAGGAGGAGGTGGAGGAGGAGGAGGAGGAATAGGAACAAGAAGAGGATGCGGATGATGAGCAGGAGAAAGCGGCAGCAGGAGGCGGAAGAGAAGGATGAACAGCAGGATGATGAAGAGGAGGTGGACGTAGCCTGAGGTTGAGTGTTGAAGAAGCGTGTCGGTGAGGAGGACGGTGTGGACGCACGGGATGGTTATGAGCAGGGGTGCCGACGATGATGACGAATAGGATGACGACATCGACCACGATTATCATGACGGTGATGGTGCTGAGAAGTACGACGTCGATGATGAGTATATCGATGATGTTTGTGATGGGGAAGGAGTTGAGGATGCTGCTGCTTCTGCTGCTCATGATTTCGAATATCGTGATGACGACGATGCTGATGCTGGTGATGCTGGTCATGTGTTTGGCGATGATGATGTGTTGGTGATGTTGATGACGACGACGACATCATGGCGATGCTGCTTATGCTGCTGCTGCTGCTGCTGATGATGATGATGATGATGATGATGATCATGGCCACGCTGACTTCGACGATGACGCTGATGATGCCGACGATGCTGCTTTTAACGACAACACTAGTACAGCTGATGTTGTGGGTGAGGTTGTTGTTGGTGTTGTTGCTGGTGTTGTTAATGATGGATGAGGATGTTGATGCTGATGTTGATGCCGATGCTGCTGATGATGCTGATGATGATGACGATGATGATGATGATGATGATGATGATGATGATGATGATGATGATGATGAGGTGGAGTAGGAGGAGGAGGAGGAGGAGGAGAAAAATGATTAGTATGATGAACCTCCGTTAGGTCACTCCGTACGAGGAGATGAAGCGCCGCCGCGAGGCCCGTCCCACTGTATGGGGCGGGGGTAGTGATCGACCTCGGAGAGGGGTGATTGAGTCAGAAGATTGTCTCTGCCTCCTTCCCCTCCTCCTCCTCCCTCTTCCATCGTTCCTCCCTCCACGCCCTCCCCTGGTCCCTCTCTCCTGCCCTTCCCTCCGCCTTCCTCCCTCCGCCCTCCTCCCCTCGCCCTTTGCACTTGGCCCTTCGTCTCCTGCTGCCTCTCTGGATGCGCACAGCGGGGGGCTGGGGCCCGGAGCCTCCAGGCCAGGAGGACACGACCGAAGGAGTGGGGATCCCGACGGGCCCCTGGGACCGGGACCCGGACCACAGGACGGGGTCGTTTCCCCCCCCTGCTGGGGGCGGGCCTCTCGCGGGTGCGAGGCCCCTGGCTGGAAGGGCCCAGGCAAGCGGCGTCAAGCACCGCTTACATTTATTTCTCGGGGCCTGTGCTGTCGTTCCTGGCTCCCCGCTTTCCTCTCGCTTGCGCTTGACCTCTTTGCCCTTGTCTTGCTGGCCTCTTGTGGTTCGAATCCTGTGTCCAGGTGGGCCTTGAGGGTGCGGTCGCCCGCGCTGGTCAGCTTGAGGGGCGTGGGATTTCAAACAACGCGACGATGATGTTGCAAAGAAGTCGAAAGGAATTCAGGAGTAAAGCCGTACTCGCCAAGAACATATCTCAACTCCCCCCGACCCGGCCCAAGATCATCCCCAGATGGCCCAAGATACCCATAGCGGCCCGGGTTGAATTGAGCACAGCCCAACAAGGTTCCAAGATTTTCCCAGAGAGCCCTGATAGCGGTTCAAGAGAGGCCACATCATGTATTGTCCATTGTTTTATTTTCGTATGTTTTTTTCCGCAAGACAGGCCACGCAGGACCTCATAATCCAACCGCAGGCTTTTGAGTTCTCTTACGTTGATCGGTCACACTTCGCGTCGTGTTTCCATACCCACATTCTAAAGGCTGAGGGGCTGCGGTGATCCGCCGTAGGCGTCTTCGATGATCAGATTCCTGTCCCTAGTCCTGTTCCTCACCCTCCTTCAGCTTACCTTTCCATCAGCATTTGTTCTAGTTTTCCGCCTTCGCATTGTCATCATTCTTGTTGGTGCAGGTGCTTATACTCCATCAGTCATTTTGTATATTCTCCTCAGCCCTACTTTCCCTGATGTCGCATGCACGCATTGTTTTAACCTTGGCTCCAGCAATGGTGGCTCAACCATCTGCACGAGAGACTGCCACACTCTGTGGCAGTTTTTTTTTGTGCAGCCTTCCCTGTAAGCCATTCGCCTTCCCAGGCCGTTTTCTCGACACCATTCGTGGGGCGATTTGCATCCACATCGGGCAGACATGTGTTTAGATCGGGAACGCCTGCCAGGAATTTCTCAGCCCGTGCAGTTGCTCATCCCTCACTGAGAGTGCACGTGTATCGCGCAGGCGCCGCTCTGCGGCTGCGGTGGCTACCAGCGTGCTGCGCTTGTGGCGTTCTAACGGAGGGACGTCAGGGCGTGTCGCGTAGGCCTTCTGTCGGCCCCCACCAACTTTTGTTGGCCCAGCTTCTTTGTGTGAAGAGCTCTCGTATGCAATTCCAGTTTGTGCTTCTGCGTGGCCATCGTGGGTATATATCGCGTCGTGCATGTGCCGGGTTGTGGTTTGGGCATGCCGAGGGCGTGGTGGGGCAGCGGCCCGTAATTCCATGCACGGGAGGTTGGCTTTCGTGGCCAGTCGAGCGTGCGCGCCCTCTACGAGGCCATGTGTGCCTCGTTGGTTTTCGCCTTGTGCAGTATTGGCGCTGCGTGTGGTGACTCCGGGGACTGCAGTTATCCCTGGGCGGCCAGTTTCTGGCCTTCGAGCACCCTGCGCGATTTTTCGTCCTCAAGCATGGCATCCAGCCAGACAGGCAACTGCCCTTTGACGAGACAATCGGGGATGCCGACGTCGCCTTCAACACTTTCTTTCGGAGACGGGCGCTGGCAAACACGTTCCGCATTGTGTGGTGACGGGTATTAAGACCAGTGTGGCCGATGAGGTCCGCACGGGCACGTACTGCCTGCTCTATCACCCCGGGCAGCTGATTTCCGGGAGGGACGACGCGGTCAACAATTTCGCGTGCGACCGCTGCACGATCGGCAACAAAATCGTCGAGGTGGTTCTGGACCGCATTTGGAGCCTCGCTGACACGTGCGCTGGGGTTCAGAGGTTCATGATCTACATCGCCGTCGGCAGAGGCGCCAGATCAGGGCTGAGCTGCCTGATGCTGGAACGTCTGTGGGTAGATTGCGGCAAGAAGGCCAAGGTCTCGCAAACGGTGCGGGCGCGCCCGCAGGTCGCCACGGCGGTGGTGGAGCCTTGCAGCACTGTCATGTACGTACACTCCTTGCCGGAGCACGCGGATGTCACTATCGTGTACGACAGCGGCGGCTACGGCGGCGTGCTGCGTGTAAGCCGATGACAACGTACTGCTTACGCGAGAACCCCGGTGGAAATGCAGGAGGCGGGGCTGATCTGCAGTGAGTTGGAGCATTCGCAGCGATGAGGGTGCACCCGGGCAAGACCTGCAGGTTCGTCGTCTCCGAGGAGGGTGTGGACGTCGGCGATGGCCGAGACCCAAAGAGGAGGAGGGGGAGAAGGGCTGGGAGGAACAGGGCGGGGGCGAGGCAAAGCCGTGCGAGGGGGAGGGAGAGGCCGGGGCAGGAAATGATGATGATGAGGAAGAGGATAAGGAAGAGGGGGCGAAACCAGGAGTGCATTCATGGTGCTTGGCCTCGAATCCCGCTTCGACGAACGGGAATTGACGGCCCAGGACCGCGAAAAACGCGAGGCTGGCATTGAAAGGTAGCGGAGGATATGCCAAACTACGAGGGTGCGCTGCTGGATCTCCCCAAAGGGGGGGGTGGGGGTTGGGAACACCCCCCACTTTCCCCGATCCGTCGTCGGGGACCCTCCCCCCCCTTTCCCGATCCGTCGTCGGGGAATCCCCTTTCGAAAGGGGGGGGGAGGTTCCGACCCCCCCCCCCTCCCCCCCTTTGGCCGCCAAGTTCGACCCCCCCCCTACCCCCCTTTCGCCACGGCCCCCCCGGGCTCCGGAACCCGACCCCTGCCACCCCTAACGCTAATCTTCACCCTTGCCTTACGCCCCAAGCCTAACCCCAACCTTAACCCTAGGCCCAAACAGTATTCACTACTCATTACGCATCTCAGTACCCACTACGCACTATTCGCTACTCACTACTCACTTCTCAGTACTCACTATTCACTACTCACTACTCACGATTTACTACCCACTACCCACTACCCGCTACCCACTACGACCTACTCGCTAGTCACTAGTCACTCTTCACTATTCACTATTCACTACTCACTACTCACTATTCACATTTCACTACCTACTACGCGCTAATCACACATGACTGTTCACTACCCAGTCAGCGCTATCCACTACTCACTACTCACTACTCAGGATTCACTATCCACTGCTCAATGCCCACAACTCACTACTCACTACCCACTACTCGCTACTCCTTTCCCGCTACACTGTATTCACTACTCACTACTCACTTCCTTACTCCCCACAACTTCCTTGCTATCCAATACGCACCACTCACTATGCAGTACGCACTACGCTCCCGCTTCTCACTACTCACTCCTTCCTACTCACTGCTCCCACTCACTACTGCCTACTTACTACTCACTACCCAGTACTCAGTACTCACTACTCACTAAACACGACTCACTGCCCACTATTCATTACCCACTAAGCGAGACTCGCTACCCACTAACCACTATCCACGATTCACTATTGAGCACTCACAGTTCTCACTACTCGCAGGCCACAACTCACTACTCACTATCCGCTGCTCGCTACTCACTACCCCTACTTCCTACACAGTACTCAGTGCTCAGTACTCATTACTCACTATTCGCTACTCCCTACTCCATAGTAGCTTCCCGCTAGTCACCAGTCACAAGTCGCTACGCTACTCACGACTCACTCTTCAGTACTCACTACTCATTACCCACGACTCACTACCCACTGCGCACTACGCACAACTCAATACTCACTACGCAATATTCACTACCCACTACGCGCTACTCGCTACTCACTACCCACTACGCCCTACTCCCCACGCACTAGTCACTTGTCACAAATCGCCATTCAATATTCACCATGAGTACTCAGTACTCACAACTCACGACTCACTACTCTCTACTCGCTA